CATATGAGAGCTGCTGAGCAGGATGTGGAATGGCAACAAACTCCCTATCTCAGACATGCAATGCAGTGGGTGCGCAGACACTCTGCTGACAAGTCTGTAAGGGCTGTGGTGCCGTGGGTGCCAGGCACTGCCCTGGGTGGGTGCACAGTTCACCCTGGAGCAGCAGGGCTCCTGTTGTCCCCAGGGCTGTGCATGAAGCATGAAGAAAAGTCAATGGCTGTAGTACTTGCACATATAGTACTTAGGACAGTTTTGCTGCATCTTCATGGGGACAGGTCCTTACCAGTGGGGAAGGAACAGAAAATGACATCATGGGAGTTTACAGTGCCTGGCGAGGCAGCATGGTGCCAGCCCTTCACACTGTGAATGGGGCCATACTCAGACACTTTCCAAAGCATTCAATTTGCAGCAACAAAAACACCCTTGAGAAAGGCTGAGACACCAGCTGGAAGGAACAATGAGCCAGGGGAAGTGGGACACCGGTCAGCCAGAGCTGCCTCATTCCCTGCAATCAACCCCATAGGAAGCAAAAGCATTCTGCTCAGGGAAAAGCAAACCCACAGCAGGCCCTGGGGCTCTGGGCATTCAGAGCCACAGAGCCCAGCTGCATGTAGCTGTAAACTCACTATGTTCAAGTGAATGAATACACTTATGTTGTCCATGTACATCCCCTCTAAGGCCTGCACTGTGTACCTGTCTCCTTTGTTGATGGTTATTGGGCATGATGCACTGCCCACCCTGCACAGGGGTACCCTCTTGGTGCTGCTCTCGCCTTGCTCAGGGAGGTGCTGAGCCTTGCCCTGGCCAGCAACCTTCTTGCAGAGGAGGTAGAGCAGAAGCTGCATCTGGCTGACCACAGCTGCTGTACTTCAGGACTTGTGTTTTTATTCTGGAGGGCACTTACAGATGCACGACTTGACCTGCTGAAGGCCCAGATCTCAGTTCTTAACCTCTGTGTATCTGTGGGGAGTTGAGGCCTATTTAGTCTTAAAAGGGTTTTTATATAACTCTGACCTTTTCATACTGTTAATATTACCTTTCTCAGTACACTCAGCACACACACACAGCTGCCAGGCCAATAATGGGACACAGAAGAACTATTTTACTTTAAAACCTTTCTCAAATATTAGGGCAGTTCAGAAATCAACTCTCAGTATTTGAATTTCAGATTATTACTAAAAGGTTATGTGTCTAAGCTCCCCAAAGGAGCAAGGGTGGGGAATGGAGGGAAAAGAGAAAGAAGTACAGAACATGGCAAACACAGAGGGTGCGAGCATAGTCAACATAGCCCTGGGCTCCACTTACAACCTGGGCTATGTAGCCAGAGGTGGATGGAGTAGGAGCAGGAAAGAAGGAGCACTTCTTCCACTGCTATGGTCTGTTTTGAAGAGACCTGGTAGAACAAGGCATTGGAAATGACCCAGATCCACCTGGAAAATGAACAGGAGTCACTACAGTTTTCTTCTCTGACCCCCAGGTTCCTACTTTGGAGGAAAACTGTACTTGAAGCAGTAATGTGACTATTAAAATTGTATCCTTCACAGCTCTGGCCCCTAATGTGATTTGGCAGAAGCCTTTATGCAGTTCATTTATTTCATATTCTCAAATTCTACTCTTTTGTATTTTGTGGTTCTAATCCAATGGTGGGAAGATGGATGCACTGCTTTATAAGTGTTGCTGTCTCTGAGCCTGGCCACCACTCAGCTCCATTGCCACAGCTCTGTGTGCCAGATTAATACTGAAGTACAACAATATTTCCTAGTTGAAGTGACTGTCCCTTTCCCACTTAAAATGCAGAGCAGCCCCTGATGAATGCACTCAAGTTGCAAGTGGAGGAGCTACTGTCTCAAAATAGCCCTTGGTCATTACATTTCCATACTGTTGCTGTTAGTAAAATGAGCAGAGCCCTTTATAAGCATAGAAACATCTCCATCACGCAGCACCAGCATTGCTCTGGATGCTTTACACTCACTCAGATGTTGCCCACACATGATGTGCTTCACTCATGTAATGTCAAGCAGTTTCCAACTCTCAGGAAAGTCAAGGCACAAGCATCACAAACAGCAGATTCTACAACCAGAGGCCAAATTTGTCTCCACTGAACTCAGTGACAAGGGGCCAGATTGTTTTATATGGTGCTACAACCAAGGCCTTCAAGGGCCTTCATATATATAATACTTCATAGGCAGTGTTTTACCCTCAGTCCTTCAGAGCAGATGAAGCAGATAAACAGATATCATTACCAGCCAATTACTGGTGCTACACTGGTCATCTTCCCAGGTAATACAGTTACAGCAGAGAGAAGAGCTCATGGAAAAGTCATCATAGTTCAAGGCACTGAGGCTGCACATAAACTTTGGGAACTAAATCAGAACTGTTCAGGGATTAAAATGCATTGGGAAGGCAGAGGAGTGACTTGACCTTTCCCTCATCAGTAAATCACCCTCAGCCTCTGAGTTTTCCAGCACTGTACAGCTGTGGCTCCCGGAACAGTCATGCTTCAGTCTGGAAGCAGACAGAGGTTTCCAAGGTGTTCCCAGTCTCCTGTATCACCCTCAGCCCTGCCTAACCCGAGCTGAGGGAGCTCAGGTTTGTGAGAGCTCCCAGACCCTTCCAGAACCAGTTGCACTCAGGCCAGGATGTTTTCTAAAGATGTTAGATTCTGCTGTGCTGAAAGGGAACTGATCACAGGCCAAGAGGGCAGAGGCAGATCTCTTGATTTAACCACAGATCAGATCTGTCTCCTTGCTTCCCTACAGAGGTTCCCTAGGGGAGATGACAGCAAACACTTCACAGCACCAGGTCTCTGTTACAAAGACAGCACATCAATGCCAAAAGCACCCAAGAAACATTAACCTTTATTGGTAATGCTTACTACAACCCCTGAGACTGTTTTCCTGCTTCACAGGAGATTCATCAGGTATTAATATCATATTGTGATGAATAAAGAAGTGATGCTCTGAGCCAACGCTAAAGTACATGACTGGTGTTTCACAAAGTGGGGCTCCTCAGGGTCCCTCATCGTGTCACACACAGCAGCAGGGACTCTCTGGAACTGGATCTGTGTGAGGGCTTTGAGCACATGTGGTTGTGTCTCACCATGAGCTGCAGCCCCAGGGATGGGGCAGAGGCAGCTCCAGGCTGGCTGGAGGCACAGGTAGGGCCTGATTCCCAGGACAGGACAGGACAGGAAAGGAAAGGAATTCTCAAAGGCTGTTTACAAAAGAATCCTTGCTGAGGTCTTTTAGATTCTAAAACTCTCACTGTCCCGCTAACATCTACTCTTAAAGCAAAGAAAGTTTTATTGAGCTCAAGGGCAGAGAAATCTCAATGTGATACAAACCCAACAGAAGACACAATGGCAAAATGAGAATGCCTGTGGAAGGCATGCATCAAAAACAAAAGATAAACCAGAGCCTTCCCAAGCCCCAGGGGAGGGTCTGTACTTGGACTTCCTGTGACTGAAAGGTGAAGTCAGAGAGGCCCATTATAACCCCAAACATGAAGTTCTCCATTTCCCCAGTGACAGGTCACAGAGCTGGGTGTGTTGGGTGCCCAGTTTTAAGGAGCCTTAATAAGATTTTAAAGGCAAGACATTTAGTTTTGCCTGAGACCACTTGGTGTGTGGATTAATAGAAGCAGCTGAAATTACTTCAGAAATGACTCTGAAGAGCAAAGGTGTGTGCCTGGGGCCATATTCCACCGAAGTATTTTTCACACACAGAACAAAGCCCTTCAGCAGGTCAGTGGATATCCTGTGTGTGAAAATGAATGAGACTGAAGTGCTGGAGATAATGAAGCCACATGTAAACCACACAAGGAGGAGGAAAGAGGGGCCCAGGACTCCCTGTCAGCATTCCTGTCTTTGTCGGAACATGATTTCATGTGGAATGAGGGAACTGAGGCAGGGGTACATTCCCTCAGCTTTGTGGCTCAGAAAATGGTCTAATGATGCTTTTCACTTACTTGCACCCAGATGCAACCACTCATACAGGCAGCTTAGTGCTCCAAGTATTAGAATAATTCAGAGAGTGGTATTGGTGTAAGTGGCATCCTGTTGCTTTTGGATGCCACTCTGTATTACTGGCTGCCCTAACAGCCTGTTGAGCAACAGGAATGGGCAGCAGAAGAGTTCCAAATGTATTCGAAAAGAAGAGTGCCACTGAGGAAATGAGTTACTGCATTTCTTCTGTGCTTTACTCACAGTAGCTGCAAATGGACTCCAATGGCTTTCCTTATTATTATCCTTATTATTTCCTTATTATTATCCTACATTGCTCAGCTCAGGTACAAGGTGCTGGTTATTTGCCCATGACCAATCTCTTTGAAAACACAGAGCCATCATTCAAATATTATCCATAGAGGCAGCACTAAGGCCTGGCTGTTTGCAAAGGTCTGGCAAATCAGCCAGAATGTCAAGAGCTACATTTTTCTGTGTACTAAAAAATGAGCATCGTATTCTAGGCGCAGAGCTCCAATAGATCTGCTGGACAAATATTGAAGCCAAACATTCACAGGAGCAGAAGATTTCAAAACACATGTAACCTTTAATAATCGAAATCATCAGATGAGGAAAGAACAAAGCCACCAGCAGAAGTGGGGGTGATTCCCAGCACCTTACTAAAGTGTTTCCCTTGTTTCACCATGAACAATGGGTGAGTAAAGTGTTTTCCGACCTTTGGAACTGAAATCAATGGCAAACTGATAGTAGGGCCCCAGAATGAAGTGTGGGTTTGTGCCTTGGACAAAAGGATGTCACATCTCTGTGACTTCCTAAACACAAAGAGACGGTACACAGCTCTATTTGTGGGAGGATGTAGAAGCACAGCCACATCCTAAGTCCTCCTGTGCCCTTTGCATCAATGAAACCCTGCAACAGCCTCAAAAGTCTCATGATTAATTCTAGGTTGCAACAGCCACAAGAGAGCACAGCAAGATATCAACCAGCCCACATGCTTCCGGCCACCCCTTCTTGCACTGGTCTGGTCCATATTTCATACCTGAGTAGCAGCCCTGGAGGATTGCAGAGCGTGGTTCAGTCAGAGAGCTGGGTCACAATCACACATTGCAGCACTGCACTGGGCAGCTGTTGAACCAGGACATCTGAAACAGTTCATGGAGAAGGTATTGGTAAGAGCCCAAAGTACCTCAAACATGACAGCCAGTATGAAATAAACTTGCAAACACATTATAAACTTGCTTACAAGAACTGGATAATATACATGGGTCAAATATTTACTGTTAAATGTCAACATGTAATTCCATGCAAAGTAATATATAAATCTATTCTACTTTAGTAGAAATTTGGCTGTGGTACACGGTATTGTGGAACAAAAGCTGGTTTGTTGTGGGGTTTTTCTTGTATTAAGGCATATATGATATTCTACACTAAAATAATGAATTATTTTAATAGCTAAAGTGAAATGTACATCTATAACCACAAGTAATAACATAAAGATGGCATTCCAGTGGCAAAGTAATTTTATCCAAGCTTTCATTGTCAGGTTGGTTAGAACTGCCTGAGTTGCAGGTCTGAACTCAGTTCTGCTACACCTCGGTATAAATCAGTAGTGTACTCAATGAGAGGTTTAGGTTTACTCTGGTGCAAGTGAGAATTTGGCCTCTTTTGCTTGAAAGGTGCAATTTTTTGGGCAATCAGCTCCTGTGGGAGGAGCAAATGAACAAACAAAGACCTGAGTGACTCTCCTGCAGTAACAAGTCTCACGTGTGTGTCATGGGCAGGAGTAGTAACCAACAGCTAAACTGAACTGTGACCTTTATCACTGCTTTTCTCTGTCTTACACGGACATGTCTGTAAACTGTGCCGGACTCCTATGTCACAGACGTGCATGGCAACCAACACATAGCTCCAGATCCTGTGGTTCAGTCACCCACTGATGTGCTGTGGAAGTCTCCCTCACACTGAACGTGCTTCCTGATAACCATTTTTAACCTTTAAAGGAGAAACCCTCTGTTCAAAGACCAAAACCATGCCCAAATATCCTGGATAAAAAAGCTGCTCCAGGGGAACAGCAGAAGAGCTGACACTGGACAAGCACCTACCAAACATTCCTGTGGCAGATCCCACTCCTGAAGAACAGGTAACTTTGTTCCAGAGCTTTTTCATCCCAATCTTCATTACACAAGGAGAATTCAGACACCTCCGGGTTTGCTCTGGTTTATTTTCCTTCCGGCTTAGTAGCTGCTTGTGAATCCTACATCTGCTCCAATGGGGATAATGGCAAATTGTGTCACGTACTTTGACCACCAGCAGGAAGAGTCTGGCTCTTTATTTATTCAGGTACTGGTATACACTGGCAAGAGCCCCTGGAGCTCTTCTCTCCAGGATGAGCAGCCCCAGCTCTCAGGCTCTCCTGTGCTCTAAGGCCAGTTCTGGCACTGTTGCTCACTCTTTCCCGGCTGTTTGCCAACAGAAAGCCTGGAGCAAACACTTTTCCATCCTCCTTCAGGCAAACTTTTTGTTCCCATTTATCTCTGTCGCATTTCCCGCACTCTTTGCTCTCCCTTTGCCATATCCACTCTTTGGGAACTCCTTCTGGACTCGGTGAAAACCCAGCCCAGTTCATCTCGTTCCCAGGGAACCGACAAGCCCTGGGCCATGACCTGTCCCTGTTTTGCTGCTGGTTGCTTCGGACTTACACGGCTATTCAAATGAAGGGCTGGAAGAGACCTCCAGCGGTCAGCTGCATGGGCTGGAGCTGGTCTGCCTGTGGGCTGCCTGTGGGCTCCCTGAGGCGGGAACCCCTCTGCCGCCATCGCACCCCCTCACAGCGCTGCCCCTCAGCACAGCGCCCCCTACCGCCAGCCCGCTCCTGCCCTTTCTTTTCCCGCCCTGCCTCGGCTGGCCAATGAGCTGCGCACACGTTGCAACGGTCCCAGAGAGGGGTGGCCGGCAGCCGCCTGACCCAAATGACAGGGCGAGGGAGGCCGGCGCCGCCGATGTGTCGCTTCCCGCACGAGCCTGGCTCATTCCGCCGTGTCGGGGATTCTCAGCTCCCACCGAGAGCCCCCTCCAACAGCAAATCGGTCAGGCACCTCTGAGGACAGGGGCGAGGGGCTTTGTCTTCAGGACCGTTTGCTGCGGTGCATGCTGGGAATTGTAGTTCAAATGCGAGAGAGGACCAGCGAGGGTGAGCGGGGCGGGGCCAGGAGGAGGACTACAACTCCCGGGGCGCACGGGGCTTGTCGCGTCCCTGTTCTTCCGCTCCGGAGGTGGCTGCGGACAGCTGTGCGCGACGGACTCGGTCCCCGGGGTTCTTCCGCCGCGGTCCCCTCTAAGGAGCCGCCCGGGAGGACGCCGGCAGGTTCCTGCCGCCGGCTGCGGGCGGCCCGGCCCGGGGCTCCGCCATGGATCTCTTCGGGGACCTGCGGCGCATGAACAAGCGGCAGGTAACGGCCAGGTCCGGGCACCCGGGGTGGGGCGGGAGGTGGGGGCCGCTCGGAGGTTCTTGGAGCTTCGAGGCCGCCCGGGGCTGGCCCAGGTGTCCGCAGAAGCTGCGGCTGCCCCATCCCTGGCAGCCCTCAAGGCCTGTGTGTTAGAAGCCTTCGCTAGCGAGTTCCCTAGCTGCTAGTGAAACTGACGTGGTCTATAGCACGAGCACATGGGAGCATCTCACAGGCAGAATAAGCCAGGATTGAAGCACACGCTGGATTTATGCCGTGTGTACTGTTGCGTTGTTGCTCCAGCCATCTGTTCCACCAGCTTCTGTTGGGATGTGATTTTAGCATGGAAGTCCACATGCCTGGAACGTGGGTCAGTGGTGCGTATGGGTTGAAATTCTGTGTTAAGCTTATAAATACACACAGTAACTTTGTGAAACGGTTGTCTCGTTTCATACAGCTGTATTACCAGGTCTTAAACTTTGCCATGATTGTGTCTTCTGCCCTTATGATATGGAAAGGGCTGATCGTGGTTACTGGAAGTGAGAGCCCCATTGTCGTCGTGCTCAGGTAAGTGAATGTAAAGACTTTTTTTGTTCAAGTCCAAATGTGAATTTTGTCCTGTGTCTTCTCCCCTTCTCCTTGGATAGATTTGGAGTTTGAAGGCTTAACGGAGCTCTCAAACACTTCCTTTCTCCTAAGTGGTTTCTTAAGAGTTAGGCTGCTTTTCTAATTGCAGTCTAGTTTTCACTGCAGTTTGTAGGAGCAGTGGGTATGTGATACCGTTGAAAATCCAGGTTATCTCATTATTTCCCTGGGGCAGTAAGGAAGCCTTCTATAGGTTGGCTCAGCCTGGGGCTTGCTGAGGCTTGGGTTGTGCTGAATGTCTGTGCAGTGTTACTGAATGGGTGTAGCAGCACGTCTCTGTTAAAATTGTGAGTTTATTTGTAAGAATGAACTTTGTTTTTATGGTGGTTTTTCCATAATGCTTATAAAGTCTCCCTCTCTTTCTGTTTGTAGTGGGAGCATGGAACCAGCTTTCCACAGGGGAGACCTGCTCTTCTTGACAAATTTCCATGATGACCCAATCAGAGCTGGTGAAATAGTTGTTTTTAAAGTTGAAGGCAGAGACATTCCAATAGTTCACAGAGTTATCAAAGTACATGAAAAGTAATGCAACTTGGCATTTTCTTGTTTCTAAATGTGCTCTCCTTCACCACGGCTTTTGATCGTATTCTGATTTGTTGGCATTTGATGACAAAAAGCAGTGAGGCCATGCTGGAAGATAAGTCATCTCTAGGGTGTGATCCACTTTTGTCCCCAGTCCTGTGGCACACTTCTTGAGACCCTGACTCCTGGGCCTCATCAGAGGTTTGAAGCAGATAAACCTGTGCCAAAGAGGAGTCCAGTAACACAAGCTGTACCTGTTGGTTTTGCCAGCAGTAGCAGTATGGGAGCACAGTCTGCTTCTAATTTTGCACAGTGGAGGATGCAAACATTGACATACTTGCTCCTCAGGAAGTGCTGGCCATGAACTGAAGGTGTTCATCTGTTGAGAAGTATCTGTTCTTCAGTGCTTTTTGTAACAGCTCTGTACATCCAAGAATGCCTTTTTTTAATACCTAATTTGTCTTTGTGAAAACTCCTTGTTTCTTGATATCACTCCTTGCAATTAGCAGCTTCTTGAGCAAAATTAATAACTTGATTTTATTCAAATGAGAGCAGTCTTGCATGCATCACTTGCAGGTCTGCCTGATGCTTCAGTGAGCGACTAGAATGGTATTAGTGTTAATGACAAAATACTGAATTTGATGCAGCTTTGCAGCTGCTTTAGAGGGTCTTCAGTATCTGTTTCTATCAAAGGAAGGACAAAGCTTGCTTTTGCCCTAAGTATGATTACTGAGAATTAAACAAGTGTCTAGAACTTAGAAGCAAATTGCACTGTGTTGTTATACCATTTTCTTCCCAAGGGAAGACTTTCAGGGTCTCCCTCAAATGAAACTTGTGAGTTAAGTTAATTCTCCAAGGCCTGATGACTTCAGGGGATTTTGCTCCACAATTTGTGCAATAAAATTAAAATAGACAAAACCTCTTAGTAGAGACTATTCAGCATTTCAGAGTTAACTTTCTGATCTGTTGAAAATGCAGAGGGCTGGGGTTGTTTCTCTCCGATAGGCACATACAGCTTCTGCCCTGGGTGTACAGTATCCCTTTCACGTCCATCGTGTCATTGCCTATATTAAATGACAATCTAGGAATGTTTTTAAAACACATTTCTTGTTAAAACCTATTAATTCTGTCAGTAAGGTCTGTAATGGTAATGATTTAATGGCGTTAAATAAGCAGGGCTGGAAGCGAAAAGTGCCACAAGATTAGATAACACTGTTTATCTGTGTTGTGCTTTGTAGATGTTAATTGAGGCTTTTATGTTAAGTGGTATTTAGTTGATCTCGTCTTTGCCTTCTAGAGGAAATGGGAACATCAAATTTCTGACTAAAGGTGATAATAATGAAGTCGATGATAGAGGCTTGTACAAAGAAGGGCAGAACTGGTTAGAGAAGAAAGATGTTGTTGGAAGAGCAAGAGGGTAAGTAATGAAAATGTTCTTGATGGTTTAATAGAAAGAAAATGTGGAACTTAAATCACTTCCACTGTTGGTACAAAGTGGGTCTGGTATGGGGGGCTTTGAATTTTCTTAAAGAAAACGGGAAGTAAAGTACTTTACATGGAAAAGTTGCCTCTCTGGTTCCTCTCACCAGTGTGGATCTGTAAGATACATCTTGCATAACTTGATTAACTTTTTTATCTAAGGGGGAAAAACCAATCACTTGCCATTCAGCCATCCATTAGTGGCAGGATAAATGATTGTTTTACACCAACACTGAGTAATATTGACAAGTTTCCATGTAATATTTTAGGGTTCATCTTACATTCAGCTACTTTGTGAATTACAGGTTTTTGCCTTACGTTGGGATGGTGACTATCATAATGAATGACTATCCGAAATTTAAGGTACGTATGCAGACATTTTGGATACTTTAAAATAGCAAGTGAAGATAGTAAGAATGTTGCCTATAAGAACATGTTAATAAATATGGTTCTGTGTTTTGGTACCTAATGTAAAACGAGCTGGGTGCTCTTGGCTTGTTTTAGCCTGTCTGTTATACAGTGGAACTCAGTATTTGGAATAACCTGAAAACATTTAGTTTGTGGGAATTCCAGAAGTGTTTGCAGTTGTGATGCCTGTTTGTAATGAGTATGATCACACTGAAATAGTCCTGTAAATCTGTAGGAACCCAACTCCATAATGGTGTACTGTCTAGATGGTGTAATGTTGGACAGGGTATGCTTGGAACACTTTGTAAGAGAAATGATAACCACCTTTATTCTGTTTTCTCTTGCAGTATGCTCTGCTGGCTGTAATGGGAGCATATGTACTGCTGAAACGTGAATCCTGAAACAGAGGTCACTTTGTTCTTGCAAAAGTCCAGAGTTAAATATACAGGGCGGAAAGAACTAATATATTTCACGTCATTTCTGTATACAAAACTGTGCAGGCTTTCGTCTTGTCTAAATAAACTGATGAGTAAAGCTGTTGCCTGTTGGTTAATTATGAAATGACATGTTTACTACCTTACATAAATGCTGCTTTCAGTGAGGCTTTTGCCTGCCCATGTGCTGAAGCAGCTTGTGGCACTCCTTGAGATGCTGCTGTTTTCGATGAAGTGGTGCTGCGCCTGAACCCACCTTCTCTGGTGGGTATTTTTGTTTCCTGATTACTTTTAATCTCTCTTTTCATGACCATACACAGTGTTCTGATCAGTGCTTGCAAGGACACAGCATATGGGTTAGGAGGATGGGAAGCGGGTTGGGGGAGTTTAGTTGGACTGATGCCTGAAGAAAGCTGTCCAGGTAGGGCTGACAACAGTGAACAACAAGGGTTATTTTTGATTAAGAACTGAGAAGTAGAAACTTGGAGCTTTTCCACTGGATTTGAACCATGTTCCTTAGTGCTGTAGGGACACATAACCTGATGGCCTGATTTTGAGAGGCCTAATTTTTAGGGACTCTGTGTGTTTGTAGCTGTAACCATACTGCCTTTGTGTTCCCAGCTATAAACCAAACCTAACAACAAGGTGTTATGGGGCTTTATTAACACCAGTAAATTGCTGGGTGAATAGCACAGTAGTTCAGTAATATTGCCAATATGGGTATGACATAACTCATATTCCAGTGTTGAGGCTGTATTGTGCTCTCCTAGCATCTGATACCTGAATAGTGTTAAACATAAAGTGGCTTTTTCATTTAAAAACTTGCCTGATCAGTGTTTTACGTGGAATTCTGGCTTTTTCTCTCCTTTGTCTTCAAATGTCAGTGTTTTACCCTCAACAAAGCAGAACTTGTTTTCCTTGCTTGCTTTGTTTTTGTAGCCTTGATAAGGAACAGCATGAGGCTTCTTCCAGTGGCGTGTTGTTTCTTCTGTAATCCCTTAGCTCTACAAAACTATATCCTATTATACAATAATGGCACCTCTTCTGTTGTAAAGCTACTGCTGAAGGCAGACAACTGCTGCATTTCTCCAAGTACTCCTTGTGTGTCCTACTAAGCAGTTTTCGTGACAAACTGTATTATAAAAATGACTTATTTTGTGTCAAATTGTGTGGAAATAAAATTGGCTATAATAAATGGCATGTCAGAATAATTTAGGTATCTGTAGTGCAGCCTTCCTGGAAGTGCACCATCACAGTTTGGAAAATGAGTTTGGTTTTGGAGATGGTGTTATGTGTACTAAGGGACATGGATGTTGTTTCATTCTCTCCTCCTCCTGTATTGCTGAAATCAGAATCCACCTTCTCAGTGCAGTCACAGCCACTCTGGCTCTGGGAGGGAGGGTTTTGGGTAGGACCCCCATGACAGATTTGACACATTGCTCTTCTGTTGAGGAAATACGGGTCAGTAAGAAGACACAAGGAAAACATTGAAGCATGTGGTTTCATGCTCAGAAAAGAAGGTTGTATTTCTCGGGTGTGAGATTCCCTGTCTTATTTTAACTCTTCCTGCACATGTGGGGGTCAGCGTGGCCGTATCTGCTGCTCTTCATGTTCCATAATGCTGGATAGCAGTGCTGGCCTGCTTTGTCTGGGTTTGGCTGCTTGCCCAGAGATCTGATAGTGCATCTGCCAAAGCAACTTTGGTCAGCACATACACTCACTTGGGTATTTATATTTATATATGTTATATATATTTATATCTATAATATATATATTTATATATAGGTAATTTACCCATCTACATGAGAAGGCTGTAGAGAAGATGGAGCTTGGCTTTTCTCAGCGGTGCCCAGTGATAAGGCAAGAAATAATTCCACTTGAACGTTAGAAACAGTAATTTTTACTGAAATAGGCTAAAACCATAGTGAAACCACTAAAAACAGAGTGCAAGCACTAAAAGATGGTACCTTTCCATGCAGAAATACATCAGCTTGCTAGCTGGTGGCTGCTTTGTCCAGCCCAGATGGGTTGGCTGGCTGTGAATAACGCTTGGAGACCACTCACAACATCTGGATCGGGTTGTTCTCGATTCTGCTCTTGACTTTCATTCCTGTCATGGAGCTGCTTTAAGCCCCCACTTCCATTTCTGATGATCTAGGAGGATAGTGCTGCTGATTGATTTCTGTAGAGGAGAAGTCAGAGAGGAAAGGAGTGCCAAAAGCTCTGCCCAGAACCTGAATCTCTGGTATAAACCCTTTCCTTCTGCTAAGGTAACATACAGACTGTTTTAGTTCTTGGGCTGATAAGCAATGATAAATGAGCTTCAGTGGGCAAGTGCATAACAGGAGAACACTTTCTGCTGTGAGTAAATTGCACTCTGATGCTAGAATGATTTAATGTCTGCTAAACGTTAATTTGTGTTTGCAACAGAGAGAATGCAGTTGCTGTTTGTTATGATTTGTAATTGCATATCACCAGCTCCCTCTGCTTGTCCTGCTAAGGCAATCTTAAGGGGATGTTGTATGTTTTTGTAAAGGGATTTAACATGTTACAGCCAAACTTGCCCACGTTAAATTCAGGTCCATTGCTGCTCCTTGTCCTTCAAACAGAATGTTACACTCTCTCCTCGGAGGTGAGGGACAGACTGCGCTTGTGCATGTGGTTTGGCAGGTTATAGATGGGGCTGGCTGACAAAAAGTGGGTTGAGATCCTTTGTATTGGATGCTTTCCTTTTTCTGTAAATACAACTACTTCGGTTGCCTGCTCTGCTTCCCTTTGAAGCCAGGACACATCAGGGATCTAATAATCAGATCTACTCACTTACTAACTGGAGGCAGTGCTCCAGAGATCCTTGAAGCTGTGGTAGCTGGTTCACCTCAGCCTACCCGCTGCTTTAGACACCAGTACCCCTGGGGAGCAAGGCTGGCTTGGCTGTTGGTGTGGAATACTGTGCGTTGTGTCCCTGGAGAAAAGGAGGGAGCATTTTAAAGCCGTTCTCAGCACTTTGGTGTTTGGTGTTAGGCTGGGGGTGCAGGGCAGCCCTGGCACTGCTTGCTGTGCCCCTCTGCTCCTCACTGCCCTTCCGGAAGGGCAGCGCTGGAGGTGGCTGAGTCCTGCTGCCACATACCCAGGCTGACCTGTCGCCTGTGTTGGGAAAGTGTGGAGTAACTGGAGAGAGAACTCCGGTTTAAGCCTTGTTCAGCAAGTCATTTCTCTCACTGTTTAATCAAGATAGTAAGCAACGGTGATGAAAAGGACGTTTTCCTCTGTGTACATGGATTTTATCAATGTTTCTTTGAACATCTTCAGGGCTAAAAGCAAACAAAGCATAAGCCACCCACGTGGCAAAAATTCAATATGCTTCTCTGCTCCGCAGCTTGACTTAAATAAGTATATTCCATCTCTTCTGTCACCATTTATGCTCCAGTACCCTGCTTTTGTATAGAGGACTAACTGCTTCTCTGTCATCTGTGTGAATACACTATCAGCACAAACTATATATACACACACATGTGCTATAGATAGTCTGTGTCTATATGTAGGTGCGTGGAAGTCTGACGTGGACAAGACCATCGCTTGGATTTTGAACCTGTTTGCATGAGTTTGTCCTCTGCTGTGGACCAAGCTTTGTTTCTTCTGCAACCACGTTAGGACGTCAGTGCCCAGTGCTGATGAGCACTTGTGCTAGGAATAAAACTAAAGGTATATGTGGAAAACCGGGGTGCAAGGAGGGCTGGCAGTGGAGCACCCTGGCTCTGTTTGCCTGATGCACAGTGTGGCTCTGCCCTGGGGATGTCTGAAGCCTCTGGCTTACCTTCCAGCCAGCCCAGGGCTCCAGCAGCCACGGGCAGCTCAACGCTGGGCACTGGGCTGTGGCCTCTCCTTGCTCCCAAGGGACAGTGCCCCTTCTGCCAGCTGCTGGATGGCTGCTGCTTCCTGTCCTGCTTCTTGCGATGGGAGCCTAGGGTCCCTTGAGAGCCCCTTGGTTTGCTGATGCCTGTCCTTCCTTCGTCACCCACACTTGTCCTGCTGTTTTGTCTTTGCTTCCCCCCTGGATCTGTGTCACACAGGCTCCTCAGCTGTTTTCCCCAACACAATCCAGTATTTATAAACCCAGCAGCTATATGTGGAAGGAAGCTGTCATTTGGGAAATAAACCTGGTAGTTTCCGATTCCCTCAGTGCTTATTTTCCATGGATTTAGTTGCAAGCCAGCAAACTGCAGATGAGTCACCTGCCACTGGCTGCACTGTCCCAGCCCCAGCTCCTGTGGAAATCCTGCTGGAACAGCTCAGGCTGTCCAGGGAAAATGAGCCCTGACCCTATACCATGAGCCCTGTGCTTAACCTGCACCCTGAGCCCATCCTGAGAGGCGCTTCCCCTGATGGGCACCAAGCAACAAGCTGCCTGCACCCAGCACTTCCGAAGCACAGCACAAACGTCGCTGGGCCCCATCAAACACGGTTCCTGTTTCCTACTGCTCAGCCCCTGTAAAGCGGGGAGCCCTTGGTGGAAAAACGCATTCAGCTGCTCAGGGAGCTGCTGCTGAGGTCAGCTCTGGGGCTCTGCCCTCCCTGCAGGTGGGAAGGGCTGCAGATGAAGTCTATTCAGCATCCCCAACATTTACCAAGTATTCCTGGGTGATTGTGCCCTATTATTGCATTGGTGATACGCTTCAACCGTTGTTTGTTCTGTACATACATTACAGCTGCCTCCGATGGCAGGATCCCGACAAAGGGAGTGATGAAAAGCGCACCATTCTTCTGTCAGCTAGCCCTTTCTCTTGCCAGGAGCCTGCCTTGCTGACACAACAGTCGGAGTTGTCTAAAATGTAAAGGAAGCAAATTAAAGAGTGTCATTGTGGTAATCGCATTTAAAACCCATTCGTGTTTCCTGCTGCGGAGCACAACGAGAGTTCACCTTGCCGTGGGGTATACGAAAGGTAGAAAGGTATTTTAAAATGGAGAGAGCTGCTTCTGGGTGTTCCAGCACAGATCGTCGTGATCAGATTTCCCCTTTAACAAGGATTGTGTTGACTGAGTCACAGTTCATAACTTATGTTTATGGCTCTTCTTTCTGTTGGGGGGCTCCACTGTGTTATTTCTGTATGTTATCAGATGAGATTCTGAAAGGCTAATAAATATAATAATTTAAATAAATCCGTATTACTTTTTTTATCCTAATGAACAAGTAAAGAAAGAAATGATAATGATGCAGATGTATTCCAAGAGTGGGCTGGATCCTTGGCTGGGCTGAGGAAGGTGGTGAGGCCAAGGAGGAAGGGCGCTTATTTGGGAACATCCCTGCTGTCCCTGCCCAGCACCCAAATAACCTGATGAGCACAGACCAGGCGCTGACCAACCTACACGTGGTCCAAACCTTGACAGCCTCTCCTGTGCCTGCCTTTGCACCCATCTCCCTGGGTGCCAGTGGGATCCCTCAGCCCAGCACATCCTCAGCATCCTGGACAGCTTCCTGGGTTTCCAGTTTCTGGCAAAGAGCAATGAGGGTGTCCCGGGGTGGCAGTTTTGTGCTGGATCACTGTCCCTCAGCACAGAGCATGTGCTGTCTGAGGCTGCTCTGCAGGCTGCTAGAGGAATGCCATTGAGGCATCAGAATATCATTGTACATTAAACAAGAATGCATAATTAATAACCAAAATAAAGGAATGAATCACATTAATCAGTAGAAGAAGATGCAATAAGCTGGGACTAAGCAAGGGAACAATTTAGCTCGTACAGGAGGATACACAATTGAATTCCAAAGCGATTGTACTCGATGGTTTGCCCAGTAATCATGTTAGTTTGCATCCATGGTAGTTCCCAGGGGGTGTAGTTCAGTCCCAGCCAGGCAGGGCTAGCTGAAGGATCTGGCAAGCCCCTGGCACTCGGCTCTGTTAACAGTGTACCCCACCGAGGTGCCTGGGGAACAAGACAGCACATAAACTGTACCAATTCCATGTGCCTCCATCCCTGCCTCTGTTCTCCTCGAGACAAACAGCGCATCAGGGCTCCATATCCCTCTGTACCTCCACCTTTACCTCAGTGGAACTGCTCACATGCCTGGAGCTGAGTACGTGCTTCAGCTTCCACTTTTTTGTGGCCTTTACTGTCGCCCATTGCCTCCTTGATTCACCCAGCCTCCCCTCTGCCCTGACTCTTCAGGATGCAGGTCTTGTCACCCACTATTACAAAGCTGACCGGTTCCAGGTGCTTTAGACTGCTGGAAGTTCAGGGGTTCTCTGTGCAACCAAACCAGGCAGTCCTGTACATCGGTGAGGGACGCCCCTGTCACCCATGAGGGTAAATTCATGCGAGAGTGGAAACTAAAGGGACTCTTTGCACGAGATGCTCTGTTCCAGTGAGCCTCAGGCCATGTTACCCGGTGAGCCTGGTCCCTTCACAGCCATCCCTCCCGCGACAGAAACGCTGGAGCACGTTACAGGCTCTTGTTAACCCTGTCCCCGGGGTGGGCAGCTCCTGCCGGTCCCGTGCCCGACCTTGCGGCCCCGCACGGGATGGGCACACGGGGGAGCAGCGGGGGGGGGCAGGACGGGGCGAACGCGAGCGGGGCAGGGAGCGGGACGCGTGGGAGCGGGTCCCGGGGGTCCCGGGGCTGCGGGCGGGCGGGCGGCAGCCGGTGCCTCGCAGGGAAGGGCCCCCCCGCCGGGGCGGGAGGCGGGCGGGGGCCGGGGGCGGCCGCAGCCCCGCCAGGAGGCGTCAGGCGCGGGAGCCCCGCTCGCACCCGGTCCCGGCTCCGTATAAATGGGCGGCGGCGGCCGCAGCGCTTCACCCGGACCGAGCCGGAGCCGGAGCCGGAGCCGGAGCCGGAGCCGGAGCTGCGCAGCGGCGGCCCCGGCGCGGCACGATGGGCGGCGGCGGCGGTGGCCCTTGGCGGCCCGGAGCTCTGCCGCTGCTGGCGCTGGCGCTGCTGGCGGCACAGGGCGGCTCGGCTCCGCTGCAGCCCGGCGGCTCCCCCGCGCTCTCCAAGATCTACCCCCGCGGCAGCCACTGGGCTGTGGGTAAGTCTCGTCCGGCCCGACGGCGCTCCCGCGGCGGCTCCAGTCCCTCCTAAGGGAGGACGCGGGTGCCCTCGCCCGGCGTCCAATGGAGCGCCCCCGTCCCCGCCGTCGGCTCGGCGGGTGGATGCCGGCAGAAGCCCCGGCTCCCGCCGGTGCCCTGGAACCGACGGCTCGGGGCGAGCGAGTCCCCGCCGGTGCCGGGGGGGCTCTGTGCGCTCCCCGAGGGCCGGCGAGCCGCGTGCCGGGCAGCTGTGCCCCAGCACCCCGCGCTTGGCGGGGTCACGCAGCTTTGACGGGCTCATGTGGCGATGATGCTTCTACCGCTGCCGTTCCTCAGAGGTGCAGGAACCCAAACCCGAGCCCGCAGCAGCCCAGGGAGCTGTCGGCACCTTGGGAAGCCCTGGTCCGGCCGAAGCCCCGGAGCGCTCAGCGGGGGGCTCCTCCAGCGCTGCCTCTCACCCTCCCCACCGCAGTAGCCTCCTTTGCAACCTAAAGCCAGCTACGATTTCAGTTTGATGACCAGAAAGCACGGTATAGCAAAAGTGCACCCAGTTTACCTCCTAGAAAGGCACCGGAACACCTTATGCCACAGTTCCCCCATGGCAGGTCAAGGCAGGGAACGTCTCAAACCTGCTTCTTACGGTTGGACTCAATGATCTTAAAGGTCTTTTCCAACCTAGCTGATTCCATGAGTCTCCATCCACTTCTTATTCCAGCGATCTTACCAGGTGCCTGTCTCTAGCCCCAGGCACAATGCTTGGGTTTCTCTGCCTTTTCTCAGCAACTTTTTCTCTGACAATGTAGAATAAAAGACAGGGGAAATTGGGAGTGGCATTTCCAGTCCCAGTTGTGCTTTGACATTGTCTAAACCATTCCCTCCATGCTATCCATCAGTTTCATCTTCCAGATGATGCTTGAGCAACCAAATCTATACCAGTCTTGGGTAAGTTCATGCTGCCATAATTGTTGTTCCAGGGCATCTAATGGGGAAAAAGAGCTCTGGAGATTCTCCTTATGCTTACGAAGAAGAAAATAAGACCCCATTTTCAGCATTACCTGAACATATGAAGCAGCTGGAAGACTACCTGCAGTGGGAGGAAATCTCCAAGTATTTGCTACGGCTGCTGGAAAGGAGTGGAAATAAAAGTGCTCATGTTGTAAAAGGAGGGCTTCCCTGGTACGCAGGGAATACCTGGGACACAGATGACAACAGCAGCTGGAAAAATGTAAGTAAGGAAAAACCTGTGCGAACACTCCATATGTTCACTTTTCATTGTACGGTAACAGACCAGCTTCCTCTGGCTTGTGGGTTGTTCAGAAAAGAAGCAGAAATGCATCTTGTGCACTAGTCATTCAGTAAAGTAAGAGTCTGCTCTCGGTTACTGCTTTACTGGTTAGTGATTATCTTGATTGCCCTATCCCTGGCAGTGTTCAAGACCAGGCTGGATGGGGCTTGGAGCTACCTGGGCTGTTGGAAGGTGTCCCTGCCCGTGGCAGGGGGTTTGGAAGTGGATGAGCTTTAAGGTGCCTTCAACCCAAACCATTCTGTGATTCTATGGTTATATATATTATTATATGTATTATATATATTATATATATTGTAATTTTAGTGGGTTAATTTGCCACTGGACATAAACTCAGATTTTAGTGCCTGCATTTCCTTCAAGTCACTTGGTTGTTCCATTCTCTTCTTTTCCAGCACCTCATGCTCATTTGGCCACATCAGCACCCAGCTGTGTATTAATCCAGCAAATATAAGCTGGTGTGAAAAGCAGCTGTGAGTATAGCGGGCAGGAAGAAGACAGAGTGTGTTGTGTATAACAGCACATCACATTGCCTGTCTCCCTCGAGTGTGAGTGCTGGTCAGAGCACAGAGCATCTGGGCTGGGGAGTTTCCTCTGTTCCCAGCTCTGGCTTCTCTTCTTCCTCCCTCAGGTTAATGGACTTACCAGCACTATTTCATAAGGCTTTGGACCAGATTCACCCCCGTTCTTTTGGAAAATCCTGTGAACTACACTTGGAAGTGTATCAGTGAGGCTTGAGAGAAAATAATCAGGGCCTAAATGACACAAAATTGCATAATTTACTAGAAAACTCCTGCCTGTTTAATGCCTCAGGTACAGTCATGGTGACAGAACTGCAGGGGTTTGAAATAGAATGCAAAGATTAATACAGCCCCTTAAAGACACTGGTGGGAAGATTCTTTTCTTCCCATATTCTACTGCAATATCATGTAATTAATATTCCTCCCTCCTGAAATCCAGGTGCGCTGAAGTCAGGGAATATTTGCGGTTTGACTTAAATATGGGTAAGAAATTAAAGCCAATATTTAAGTTTCTCACACCATAATACAAATGCCGTCCATAGGTTTCTTTCTGGCTTTATGACAGTGATACTTGCAGTAACAGTGATTACTATTATCAAAAGAGGGAACTGTGTCCTCAGATGACACAAATCCCGTTATGCTATGGAAAGAGGGAAATATTTTGACTTGGAAAAGTACTTGGTAATGAATTGTACTTACAAAGGCTGAAAGTTGCCCCTGTTAAGTGTAAACATATCCAAGTGTGTGTTCCTGTACCCTTCATCAATAGCCACACTTTTGTGGTCAGACTTTGAACATACACATAGAATAATGAGATTATTGCCTTAAATATCCAGATTTCTCCTGTGATTAGATTTCTACTGAAAACCGTGTCTTCTGTGTGACTAGGATATATAACGACTTGCAGAACCTCAGTTTGCCACCGAAGCTTTGATATCCAGCATTCAACAGTTACTTTGTCTCTATCTTGAAGCGAAGCATAATCATGAGAGTAGTATGAGTAGTAGGTGCCCTGTGCTTTCCTACTGCTGGACACAGATACCTGTTTATCTGCAGCCCAGACGGATGAGATGTGTTTCATTGGTTTTCCTTTGCCTTCAGAAAGTAAAACCCCAGCACCTGATGGTTAAGCTTTGAAATCTCTCTTCCAGATGAGGCTCAGAAGATGGGAAGGAATGTGCTTTACTTTTCTTCAGGGCTGTGACAGATATTTAAATAATGATCATTATTATTTTGAGTAGAGGAGGCTGTATTTATGGGTGTAATTCTGGTGCCTGTGACTGTCAGTCCTGTGCGTACACAGGGATACAAGAGCATTTGGATTCTGTAGCTCTTGACTCTTGATTTCCCTGGGTGTGAGGGGTTCTGTGTTGCACAGGCTTTGGTTAGACATCCCCCGTGTTTAAGGTGCTGCTCACAAAGGGGCCCCGTGTACAGGAATGGTGAATGCAGCTGTTTGCCTGAGGGGAGCAAGCTGGTGATGACCGTGTGGTGCACGTAGGAGCCTTGTACTTGGCATTAAATACTTCTCCAGCCATATTGTGTTTGAGTTTGAAACAGGAACTGCTCTGGGAGGAGTGAGACACTGTATTTCCAGTGGGCTACTGCTCACTGTGAAGTGGCCTTTTGGATTGAGGCACTGAAATGTGACCAAAACCCAGGAAACCACGAATCCCATCATCAACTGATGGAACAGCCATCCCAGGACTGGATCACCAGCGAGGGGGCTGTGGGTGCTGCTTGTAGGCTGAGCATGCCCTTGCAGAGGTGTTGACCATGGGTCCCTTGCTGTGTGTGTGCAGCTCTGTGTTCCCATCCACTGAACGGGAGTGAGAACTAGGCCTACAGTGGTGCACCTCAGTTAATTTCTTCTGTTTTCAGTTATTAGCAGGCAATTCCTGTGAATAAATGACAGTTAAAGTAGGTAAAGATCAGAAAGGAGCTCTCTGCTGCAAGTTAGACACTTGGTTCACAGTAAGTAAAAGTAACTTGGAAAATAAGCCTTACATTGTTTCTATGGCTTGGCTTTTTAACACTAATAAGACACTATATAAATGAGACGGCAGACAGAAGTCTTTGGGAGGATGAGTTCCCTCATGCTTTGGCAGTTGGTTATTACACTAACCGAGACAAATGAGGTCTATTTTGGACAGATTATTAGGAATGTGTTTGCTATGTGAATGCCCAGAGCGAGGGCTAGTTTGGACAGATTATTGGGAATGCACTTGTGATGTGAACACACAGAGCACATCTATATTGGGCTTATTAACTTAGGGAACGACTTTCTCCAGGACTGCTCTATAAATAATATTCTTCTCTTTTGATTAGATGATGGACTATCTGCTTCAAGTTGTGAATACGAAAGAGAGCACTCCAAGCTGAAAGAAGGTCTCTAAATCATCAAGAAACGGAATACTTTCAATAAGAGACTATATTTCACAAGCACTTGATTGCATCAGATAATTAACAAGGTCTCTTTTCTGTAAACAAGATTTCCTTGGTGTAAAATACCTAAATACACATATTCTTGTATGTTCAAGCAGTGACTAAAACTCTTTCCTTCAAGGCTGCATTTTCTCACTTGAATGGCTTTGATATATTTAATCGTCATGGAAGGGTCTTCCAATTAATGATATGACTTATCTAATCAGTTCAAAACTAGATGACATTTCCACATGCACAATAAATAGTACTATCGAAAAGGCTGACTTTATACTCTCATTTGGGTTAGTAAAATGGAAATTGGCTGTGCCACAGCCGGTAACAAAGAAACAACAGAACGGTTCATTCCCACCGAAGCTCTTCTCCAACTGAATTGCTCCCTGCTCTGTAGTTTTCGTCACTGAGGGGAGCTGACGCAGCCTACCCAAGGTATAGAGCCTGTGGTGCTCCCCCAGATGCAGGCAGCAAGGAGATCTGCTGGACATAGGCAAACCAAAGAGAGGGCAAGAAAGGGCCACAACAGGTGATTCAGGGGCTTTTCCGTCTCTCCTGGAAGGAAAGGCTATGGCTTTTGTTGGACCAGGTGGCTTTTAAGGTCTATTCCAGCCTGTATTCCATGATTCTATGGTTCTATGAGCTGTTCAGCCTGGAGAAGAGAAGGCTCAGGGGGTCTTACCGGGGAGGGTATAAAGGAGAGAGGGCTGGGCTCTTTCCAGTGGTATCAGTGACAGGACCAGGGCAGTGGGCACCTCTGAACCTCAGGAAACACTTTGTCACTGTGAGGGTGACGGTGGAGTCTCCCTCTTTGGGGCTATTCAGAAGCCACCTGGGCACGGTCCTGGGTAAGCGGTGCTGGCTCACACGGGGACGTCCACAGCCCCTTTCCACCCCGGCCGGTCGCAAGTGAAGGGGTGAAATGGGGCACACAGCTCGTGCGAACGGCCCCGGCCCCGCCGGTCCCGGGCAATGACCCCCCCCCCCCCAGCCACCCCGGAGCCGGCGCCGCGGCCGCCAGAGGTGAAGTTCCGTCCGTGTCCACGAGGCGGCGCCCTCGCGCCACTGTCGGTGCCCGGCCGGTCCCGGCGGAGGAGGGAGCTCCCGTGCGAGCCCATCCGGCAGGGATGGGAGGGTTGGCCCCGGCCAGAGCCAGCCTTGCGCTGCTGGAAAGCAACTGAGCTGGACTCCGTGCCAGAGCTCTCCGTGGCTTAAATAGGTCAGGTGTCTTTGCAAGGCTGCTTGAGCTCTGACAGGAGCCTGAGCAGCGGTGGGAAGGAGAGAGATCAGAGTACGCTCTCTGTGAGAAATGGTGCCCTCGAGACAGTTTCATGATGGCATTTTCCTGATAATTCAGAGATCTTCAAAGCTCTTTATGGTGACTGACTTCTGTCCCCCGTAGCACTGACCTGCGCAAAGCTTTACACTTGGGTGTGCTGAGCCTGGGATTTCTGAGCCGGGCAAAGGCACCCAGGCCTAAGGGAAAGACTTCTCATGAACAGAGGTCCGTCTACCTGTCTGCGTTTCACATCTGAATGAGAACTCACCCGGGATTAACCTCCTTTGCCAGTGGAGACATTGCTACAGGTGAAGCAGCTGCAGAGATGGCGAGATCCTGCTTTTCCAGACCTTTGCAGCAGATGCAAGCCGGACAATTTCATGTATAACACAAAGGAATGTGTGCCCATCCGTACTGTTCCCAATGGAAAAAGCTGCTCTTGGGAAAACTCTCACAAGTACTCACAGCTTCGCTGTCCAAACCCTCCGCACTGCCACGAGTCGGGGTGACCCCTGACAAACCCTGTCCTACAAGTGCACCTCTCCCCAAAGGTAACAACGTTCACTGCCTGCCACTGCCTCCTTGCAAAGGAGTACATTTCGTAGCATTTCCACTATTCCTTTTATCCGTGCTGTTATTCCTTGTTCAGATGGTGCAGAGAATACAAATACAGACACTAAAAATACTTCCTTGCTAATACAGTTTAAGCAAAAGAAGAAATAGATCACTCGGAAGAGGGCATGCTAATAGCCTTAGCAAAGTTGGAGTAAAGAAGTGGTTAAGGATCTAGATGATTTAATCCACTTTTAAGAAAAGGTTTTACAGTGAGCAATTAGATGCTGTTTAAGGAATTAATCACTAATGGGTCATTAACTCTGACTGCTATTGTACAGTTAACAACCAGAGGCAGGATTATTAGACTCAGCACCCAATTAAGGAGAAGATATTTACAACAAAATGAACAAATGAGCTTTTAAAATGGAACGGGACAGTTTGAGGGAAGTGTAGGAGCACAGAGAACCCGGCAGGGCCCAAGGGAGCCCTGGTTTTCTGCATGCCTCTGCCCCTGCCTTTGTTTGGGCAATATTTACCTGCCTGTGCCCACTGCTGCTTGGCTGTCGAACTCTTTCTTTCTCGCAATAAGCTCATAGCTTTCCTGGAAGGACGTGACAGCACAGTTTATGCATTACAGGGTTCACATGTGCAACGTATAACAAAAGACCTGCTTAATATGTCAGTAAAAGAACAATTGCCACAGCTTGAGGTTGTCCTTCACTCCTTACTCCCAGGACCGTAATGGAAGTGAGGATCTGGTTTGTTTCCTGCTATCCTATCATACTTTTCTCTAGTGTTAGTCCTCAAGCACCACTGCTGATGACAGCACTGATCAGAAAGCTGGGGGGGGGAGTGGGGGTCCAATGCCTTTACAGGCTCAGAACCGGGGGCAGCAGGGAGGGAGGGCAGGGCTGTCAGAATGGGGAAGAACACCACTGACATCTCGGGGGGTTATTTGCTCATCAAGAGCAATAAGCACAGGCAGGAATCGGGCGCCAGTTGAACGTGCTGGCACGCAGGAGGGTTTTGGGCATCAGAGCCACAGCTGGACCACAGCCGAGTAATGACAAGAGGGATTGTTCCCATGGCGAGGAGGAGGAAGAGTGTGCGGAGCCTGCGCCATCATTCGTTAGCGTGCGTCGGTGCTGACGCAGCCCGGGGTGTGCGGTCACTTCTGGAGCACACCAAGGGGCATCCTTCCTTTGCAGCCCCCTGGGGGATGCCAGCAAAGCTCACCTGGGACAGGACCGCTGGGGTGAGACTTGAGCCCAAAGAAACAGGTTTTGTTCTTCTCCTGTTTCCCCCTGAGTTTACTGAGGCCTCCCCTCAGGTTAGCAAACTGTCTCCCTGGTTCTGAGAGCAGCAGCGCTTTCTCTCCCTAACTGCAGGGCACCTTCTTTGCCAGGGAAGCAAAGAGCAGTGTGCTGGGAAGGCTGGGCACCGCCACGGCCGTACAAACAGCAGCCATGCACCCTGGCCCAAGCAGAGCTGCATCCTCCCTCAGTTCAGTGGGGAGCACTCGCTGGGGCTCCCTGCACCCCCCGGAGCAGGACTGCTCAGGGAAGAGAAGCCCAGGCACAGCGTGAGCTCTGCTCCAGAGGCAGGTTGGATCTGCAGCGACGCTGGGGAGAGAGGAAAAGGCATTTCAAAATAGAGGGATTCCTACTATTATCTGTAAAAGCAGCTCTGCAGACAATAGGTGGGGGCTGCTGAGGAGAAGGCTGTGAAGGGATGTTTAGAAACTGCTGTCTAAGGTTAAAAAGCTCTCTGAAGTGAAGCTGAACAAAGCTGACATGCTCGTTTCTGACAGGACTCTTAAAAGATACGCGCAGATTGTGAAAATATAATTAGACGCCAGGCTTTGTCTGGCCACAACGAGTGGGAAATGGTGAAAGGAGAGGTCTCCCAGTCTGCATTGAATCATCCCCAGGACACAATGAGGGCACTTGTGCATCCTTCTCTCTTCCCTAATGAGAAACGTTAATTGCCACAACCTCCAGAGTGTGTAGAGCACCCTGTGCCCAGCGGAGGAGAAGGGGTGTTTCATTACAGCTTCTCAGCCCCATTACAGGCAGTAACGGAGATAATGGAAAAGAAAGATGCCACAGTTTTGGTTTCAGCAGCCTGGCGATGGGCACCACGCGCGCAGGGGAGCCGGCTCGGCTCAGCACCATTCTGGTCCCCGGGGGCTGCACTGGGCCCTGTTGACAGTTCCATGCTCCCAGTGCCCGGCAGCTGCTGCCCATCTCCCCCAGCCAGGCCTGTCCCAGCCCTCTGCGGTCCTCAGCAGCGCAGACCTGGCCCGTGCAGCCCGTTCGGGTGCGAGCACCACACACAGCCCTCATGCAGGATGTGCCGTGTGAGGGTGCAGCAAAAGCAGAAAACCCTCCCCAGGCAACGCAGGCCTCGGTTCCCAGGCACCTTACACAGCTCCTCACCCTACTGCAGCTTTTATTGCGACTAAAGTGTCCAGCCAAGGAGGGAGAGCAAAGATCGTTTTCTCTTCTAAGCTATGATCAGGCCCCTAACTCTGCAGGGCACGTGGAAAAGGGAATTAAAAGGACCACAAAATACAAAGCAAGTCAAGGCGTGGGGGGACAGCCCTCTTTCACCTGGCTGTCCATAGAGCAAGAGCAGGGCGAGGGCGTCCCTTGGGCGTCCCAGGAGCAGCCTTCCCTGCGGGTTCCTCCCGGGGCCAAAGGGGAAGTTCAGATTGTCTGCCAGGGCTTGCCGATGGACTGGATGTGCTCCTTGGCCTTCAGCCGCAGGGCGGCAATGCTGGTGTTGCGGGGGTCTGCCTCGTCCAAGGGGAACTTGTCCACAAAGGTGGCTCCGCACTGGTATGGCGGCGGCGGCCCCATGGCCCCCAGCGGCTGCAGCGCGTGGGTCACTGCGGGAGAGTTCAGGAAGGGCGGAGGGGTGTAGGTGCCGGGCAGGCTCTGCGGCGAGGACACGAAGCCGGGCAGGCTCTGCAGGGCCGTGCTGCTGGGCACGGGTGGGCTGAGCCACGTCTCCAGGGGCAGGTTGCTGCTGAGAGGACCCATGGGTGCTGCCTGCGGTGAGCGGTTGAAGGAGAGGATGGGTGAGTCCTGCAGCTTCATGGAGGTCACTTCCAGCTTCTCCTGCCGCCTCCACTTGGCCCGTCTGTTCTGAAACCACACCTGCGGGCAGAGCGGCGTTAGCCGGGGTGACACCGGCCGCCCGGACCGGCTGCCCCCGCGGAGGGCTGAGGCTCTGCCCCGGGCTCAGCGCTGAACGCGAAGGGGAGCGAGTGGAGCGCACGGAGCAGCAGCCGCGGGGCAGGGGGGCCTCAGCCGCGCTGTCCCCGAGGGCTCGCCGGACCCGCAGCCCTGCGCTCTGCGGGGAGCCCCGCCACGGGGCGAGCGGAGCAGCGTGAGCCGGCGGCGCGCCGGCCCGTCCTGCC